AAAGTGTAGGACGAAAATTGTATAAATAGTGTCTCGCCAACGCTGTGCCAGATTCGGACGGAGGTGTTGCATCGCCAAGTGTCGATCCTTATCCTGAACTTTTAAAAGGTACACTACAGTGGCAAGAAACCTTAATTAATTTAATCGTTGCCCAGCAACAACAAATCGCTGAATTAGCAAAATAGACAAAGAGTGCGATATTGCGATGATGTCATCGTCATCTTCACAGGCAACGCCCAAGCTTCTCGTAGCAGATGGATCAAATACGCAAGCGTCGACATCAAACTACACATTTAAATTAAGCAGCTACGATCCGGATAACAGCGCATACGCCATTCATGAACGTTTAAAAGATGGTACGAAATTAAAAGATGAATTAACCTAACCGTCAGCGATAATCTAATGATCGCAAAGGCAGGCGAGGCCTTGAAAATAGAGGTGACCGATACTATTGTGAGTGGCGGTCAATCCGCCAAACTTGGAAAAATTTGTGATTCTTTATGTGATTAGGGGAATCAAAAATTTAGTGATATACAAAGATTCTATGAAAATTTTCCATGAGGTTAGGACAATACTAAGCGAATTTGATGGAAGAAGGATTGAAAAACGGCCCTTAGAAGTTGAAGAACCGTCCACAAGGAAATACCAATTGGGAGCAAGACGAGGCATAGGCCATAAAGGACCCAAAAAGAAATTTAAGAAATTTCGTTTCAGTTGTCGTCAAAGATACCGACATGAAATGTGCCGTAATAAACAAGAAAACCCGAAAGAAATTCAACAAAATATTTCCAGATTCCTTAAAAATTCCACCTTGTAACCACTGCAAGAAAATTGGTCACAACGAAAGTAACTGTTTCGTGGTATAAAAACGGTAAATTCAAGAAAATAATATTACTAAAAAAATGACATCATTTAAACATCAATGACGACATTATTATGAAAAAACAGTGTTCTTTCTTTTTCTTTCCGGTAATACTGGCGGTGACAAATCAATAATAAAACATTCTATAACAAAAACATAAAACGCGACTATCAAAACAGACGGTAAGTTCCGTGCTTACTCCGGATTCCTGAATACAAATTGTTTACGCTGTCGGTGTCTGTGATCTAATAACTGCCAAGCCGATGTTGACTTTAGACATTTGTTTTGCATTCGTACCAGATAATGTTATTCCAGCCAACATTGACCTTATTATTGGATGAGATGTTATTAGTAGACTTTGTTTACGAATTATTAAAAAACTATTACAGACTCGAGTTACACCATAACCTACTCAACATTTCTAACGTATTGACTTTAAAAAGTGTAAATAATAATAATAATAATATTGTGATAAATCAACTTGGTTTAAAAGAGAACTTGAAAATACGCCTAGAGAATCTCCTACTGTTTTATAAAAATAAAACTCCCGATCATATTACCACCGGTGAAATGACAATAAAGTTAAAAGACACTACTCCAGTGGCATATCGTGCTCGTAGGTTGGCATACCAAGAAAGATTGCAAGTAAAAAAAAATAATAATTAATGAACTTTAAAGCGCGAGCATAATTCGTGAAAGTCGATCGGAATATGCAAGCTCTACCTATAGTGTTTGTATATAAAAAAAAGTGGTGAGGTTCGAATGTGTGTAAATCTCCGTGATGTCAACAAGAAAATAATTAAAGAAAGATACCCGCATTGCCTCATAATCAAGATCAGATCAATTCTCTCTGACATGGAAAATACTTTACTACAGACTGAATATCTTGGTGTTATTTTAAGTGCAGTATCAGAGCCACCCAGTCAGCGTAAAATAAACGCCTTGACTAAAGCGCCTATTCCGACAGATGTTAGAAGTGTAAGACAGTTTATGGACTTGCTAGCTATTTTCGACGGTTCATTAAATGATTTTAGAATTAGCTGCACCAATAAAGGCTTTGTTACGATAAAAGAAACTAAATGGACTATCGTAATTCCTGCTATAGAAGATAATATAAATTCTACAATTCATTCAATAACGGGTCAGGCACCTAAAGTGTTGAATCATGCCACAAATCCAAGATTATTGGCTACTCGGCAATTTTTGGTAGATGCACCGCGAACCGATAACTTTGTCGATCCAGGGAATTCGTTTATTATTGGGGACCTTGTGACTATAAAAGATTCTCAGATGGCCATCTACTGTTCGTGCAGTACTACCCAATGACAGATATGCGCTACATAAGCAAGGACGACGGACCACTGTTGCCGCTCATGAAAAATTATATCCATGGCCTTCCAATAAATAACAAAAAGTGAGTAACGTCTTTGTTACCTGTTTTCTTATGATTATTTGAAGTCACTGCATATTGAAAGTGAAGAAATTTTACTTTAACAAACAATTATAAAAAAATTTGATTGAATAGTAAAAACTATTCAAATAAACTAATTAAAAAAAAGTATAATGATAATATTTTAGAAATATCTAAAATAATTAAATAAAGTAATAATGGCAGGCAACCCCATACCATTAATAATTTAAAAGAAGAATAATATTTTAGAAATATTTAAAATGATTACATAAACTAATAATGGCAGGCAACCCCATTCCATTATCAATTAAAAAAAAAGAATAATATTTTAGAAATATCTAAAATGATTAAATAAAGTAATAATGGCAGGCAACCCCATACCATTAATAATTTAAAAAAAAAGAAGAATAATATTTTAGAAATATCTAAAATGATTACATAAACTAATAATGGCAGGCAACCCCATTCCATTATGAATTTTTAAAAAAATATATATATTATTTTGGAAATATCTAAAATGATTACATAAACTAATAATGGCAGGCAACTCCATTCCATTATCAATTACAAAAAAAAAAGGTAATGATATTTTAGAATGTCTAAAATATTAAAATAAAGTAATAATGGCAATACCATTATCAATTAAAAAAAAGGGTAATGATATTTTAGAATGTCTAACATATTAAAATACAGTAATAATGGCTATACCATTATCAATAAAAAAAAAAAATTAAAAATTAAAAAAAAAATAATAAAAAAAAACAAAAATAATGGCAATCCCATTATCAATTTATAAAATAAACGACCGATGATTATATTTTTGATGTAAAAGTCCAAAATACTTTGGTGTAACCCAAAAAAAAACATTTTTTTCTGCTTTCTAAAATTTCAAAAATGGCGCGAGAACGCTCCAGTAGCAGGTTGGCCGTGTTAGTGATACCCCCCTTGTACCCCAACATTATTGATCACGTGTCACTGTCAACTGTCAATACTCCTGGCACGTCGGAGAGCAACGGAGGAAAGCAGCAGTCGGAGTCATAGCTCGACCGCGTAGCCACACAATAAAATATAGAATAGTGTAATACTAATAAATAAACAGTTGTGGTGGTTTAATGACTTTTATTGGGGTTAATTATCCCTTATCTTAACATATTTAACAAAATTTTATAACTTTCTGTTACATAACGTTAAAAAATATTAAAATATAGTTAACTAATTCATATTAAAATGACGTTTATTTTTTGTAAACAATATAAACCAAACGTTCAAGTTTACCGATTCAATAAAGTTTCTATTACGACTTTTATGTAAGTTAAACTAACGTTATCATTAAACATATATTAAAAAAAAAATTCAACTCTCGGTAGAACCACAATTACATAACGTTTTAAAATTATATTTAAATATAAATAAATATAAAAAATATTAAAATAACGTAGATATTTGATTTACACTATTAATCAAATGTTAAAAGGTACGAATACACGAACGTTTTCTATACGCCATGTATTTAATTTAAAATAACGTCAGTAATATACGTATATTTAACGAAACTATTAACTTTTAGTTACATAATAACGTTCAAAAATAACATTAAAATATAGTTAAATAATTAATATTGAAATAACGTATATTTTTAGTTTAAAAACTTAATCAAACGTTAAAATGTTTTGATAAAACAACGTTTTCAATACGATTTTTATGTAATTTAAAATAATGTTGATAAGATACGTTATTTGCAAAAAATTAACTATAGGTTTAAATATAGTATTAAGCAAAATAAATAATAAACGTTAATTATAAACGAGAAAATAACATTATAAAAAACATATTATTTTATCAAATTTTCAACAGTGGGTTAAAAATAGCTAGAAAAATACGTTAGGAAATAGTATTTTTGTTCTAAAATTTCAACGTTAAATTTTCAACCAATAACTTTTTTTATAACGTAAAACGTTATATCATCGGCCTAATGTGAAAATTGCATGAGTACAATTTTTCACAAAATTGGTTTTTAGCTCCATCTGTTAGAAAAGCAGCGTATCTATACATCCAAATAAAAAAATTATGCAAAAAGTATTTAGATGGCGCTAGAAACAACAGTATGAAATGCGCGTAAGTCCAACTCGTTCTACATCAGTAAGAAAGTTGCATAAGTCCTAGCAAGTGTACGTTGGTGTTCTGTTTATGTTTGGTGTCATGCTTTTTAGTTTGTCAGGCTTTAAATTGGCCGTTATTTTATCAGACCGGGCTTCAATATCATTTAGGTAAGTACATACTATGTAAATTTAAGCTTTTTAAATATTTTATCATACATTAGACTGGATTAATGCCATTTTTGTAAACTTAAGGAGTTGTGCATTTTTCACCCTGTTGATATATTTAGAACTCACGGGAGTTATGAATGTTTCAAAGCATTTTGAATACCAATTACTGCAAAGAATGATGAGAAATTCACATTTTTTTGCCTTACCTACAAGTTTTGAACAGTTCGCGTAGATGGAAATTCTTGTCAAATCAAATCAAATTCTTGTAAAAAAGACGCTGTTAAAAACGTTCCAGTGAAAAAGCCCCCAGTGAAAAAATTCATTCCAAAAAAAGCCCCCTGATAATAATAAAAACATATTTTTTGTAAGTCAAACATCCGAACAATACCGGGGTTGTTTTTACCGGAGGCTTTACACTTTGTGGCTAAAGGTAGGAATAAACAAGTATTTTGTTTCAGCTATGGATCGTAGAAGCAGGGGTTTCAAACTGTTGAGTTTAACAAAACATCCGGCCAACGCTTTGAAGGACATAACTATCGATAGCTCTGGAACATTTAGTGATTCTGTAGAATTAAACAAGACAATAAAACTGTTCAAAGAAAAAGATCAAGACAGTCATACTGATACAAAGAGCGCGGAAAATGAAAAGTGTTTTGCGGAAGAAAACGAGGAACTGCAGTCAGCTCTAACAGAATTACAAAAAGAAATTCATATGACACAAAACATTTTAGACATAGGGGAAAACAATAATTTATCATCCAGCTTTCTCAACAATGCAATAATATCCGGCATAGAGCAAACGGATATTATTACAAACTATGATAGTTTTATTTTTTTCGATGAGATTAAGATGTTCAATGCCAATACAACAAACGATATTGCCGCGCAAACAGAAACTACTTTGGATTTCAATAAAAACCAACGAGAAGGAAATATTAGAAATGAAGATAATGATGAAGAAGAAGAAGTAGATAATGAAAACAATGACCCTACATATCAAATCGACGATGATGGGGAACAACATTCTGATGAAGAAAATAATGATTCCAGTGAAGAAGTTACACAAAAAAGGAAAAAGAAAAGATTTTTTAATCCTGCAGAATGGAAATATAATACTAATAAAATAAATAGAGAGAAAGGGGTTAAGTATATGGGTAGAAAAAATAACAAATTCGACAGAAAGAAAACTAAGAGAGTAATGAAAACGAGATACCTGTGTTCAAATAAACCATTGAAAACCGGTAAAGAAATAGCAATTCAGTGTAACAAGTTGACGCATGAAGAGCGAAAGTTAATTTTCGCGAAGTGTTGGTCCCTGTCGTGGTCTGAAAAGAAGATCTACATTTTTGCAAAAGTCTTGAAGAATAAAACGGAAAGGTCGGGGCATAGAAACGATCCGGAAGTTAGCCAAAGGACAACTTCGTATAAGTATTTTCTTAAAAAGAAAAGCGAAGAAATTAGGGTTTGTAAGCTGATGTTTTGCAATACGTTAGGACTTTCTATGAGGACAATATCAGCGTGGATAAAAGATGAAATGTCTAGCCCAGTCAAAAGTGGAGAACAGAATAGTGACAAAAATATTAAAAAAAAACTTTACGTTTTGATGAAGAAAGGATAAATTTTAAAAAATTCTTTGAAGAACTGCCTAAACTTGAATCACACTATTGTCGCAAATCGTCAACAAAATTATATGTAGAGCCAACGTTCAAAACCAAATCGGAGCTTTATTTACTTTATAAAGATAATTGGTGTGTAGAACATAATGTAGCTCCCTTATCCATTGCCACATTCTCAAACATGTTTGAAGATCTGAATCTTGCATTGTTTTTGCCAAAGAAAGACGAATGCGATGTCTGCGCAGGCTACAAGACCAAAAACGTAGAAGAATCTGTCTACAGATTATCAAGAAAGAAGAAGCACGGGAAGCATAAGCAGAAGACAAAAATTCCAAAAATAGGGTATTTACGATGGACCTCTAGTCAGTACTGTTGTGCTCGAAATCGAACGTATCAACTCTGTACTATCACACGAAGCTTATTATAAGTTTACAGTGTTTGATTTGCATTCTAAAATGGCTATTGTTTTCTCTGGCACGAAGGTCAAGGGGAGCTCAGTGCAAACTGTTTTTCATCAATAATTTGTAACTTCTTGATTAATAATGTAATTCCCCAGCTTGAGCCAATGCAACAAATAATATTATATAGTGACGGTTGTAGCGCTCAAAATCGTAATTGCACTTTAAGCAACGCCTTGTTGAATCTTGCTCTCGAAAAACATGTTTGTATCATCCAGAAATATTTAGAAAAGGGTAACACCCAAATGGAGTATGACTCGATGCACTCTACCATAGAGAGGCAATTAAAAGGTAGAACCATTAATTTGCCAGCTGATTATGTCTCCCTATGTAAATTGGCTCGAAAAAATCCTAGACCGTATGAGATGAGCTATTTGGATTATACTTTTTTCAAAGACTTTAATAAACTTAATTTAATAAAATCAATTAGACCTGGATTTAAAATTGGTGATTCAACTGTCAACAATCTTAGAGCTCTGAAGTATAATCCAGATGGTAAAATCGAGTTTAAGATTAAACATTCCAAGGAGTTTCAAGATATGCCTATGAGATTAAAACCAAATTTAAATTATATATCAATTGACTCTCTTCCCTTATTGTACAAAGAACAATTGAAAATTAAAAAAAAGTTTGAACATCTTGTTTTTGAAAAATCTCTTGCCAAAGATTATCATGATTTTTATGACAATATAAGACATGAATAACTTATTAAACATAAGACTTAATTTTGATTATTTTTAATATTATAAGTTATGTAGTAGGTATTATCTTCCAAGTTCTTTAATGTTGTTTTATTAGTAGTTATTTTCGATTTAATAAAAATAATGCCTTAGGTAGGAAAATACTAGCGTTGTTTTATTATGTGAAATTTGCATAAGTCCATCTTTGTACTGGATATAAAAATGAATTTTGCATAACTCCTTTATTTTTCAACAGGTAACTACTTTCACTTTCACCCAAATTACATTATTTTAAAAAAATAAAATAGTTTTTTTGTTCTCCTGTAAAATTTAGGTTTTGCGACTTGTGCAATTTTCACATTAGGCCGACGATATTTACTTTGAAAAACGAGTGCGTGCTCATTGGGTAGTTCATAGAACAAAGTGCAATAATAAACAGATATCACAAAATTATCGATAGAAATAAATTCCAATTCTCAAATGTTAAAAATTATTTTCTCTGCTATTTTCCCTTCGATATAATGCAATGCTTGTTACGGTATTATTAGCCAAAGAAGCAGTTGTTTTCAGAAAGGAAACGGTCGCTCGACGTTTCTATGAGACGGACTTTTTAAATTGGTCACATTTAAGAATTAAAACTTATTTCCTTTAATAATAGTTGATGTAAATAAAAATTATTTTTTATTTCCAATTACTTACGAATTTTCTCCGGTGTGAATTTTTAAGTGCAATTTTAAACTTAATTTCTGTGTAAATTGTTTTGAACAAATTTCACACTTGAACAATTTTTTTTTGGCGTGGATTTGTAAATGCAACTTTAAACAGCTTTTACGTGCAAAAGATTTCGAACATATTTCACACTTGAATGGTTTTTCTCCCGTGTGAATTTGTGTGTGCATTTTTAAATGACTTTTCTGATTAAATTGTTTCAAACATATTTCACACTTAAACGGTTTTTCTCCAGTGTGAACTTTTAAATGCCTTTTAAAAGTAATTTTCAATGTAAAATGTTTCGAACATATTTCACACTTGAACGGTTTTTCTCCAGTGTGAATTCGTAAATGCTCCTTCAAATAATGTCTTTGACCAAAAGGTTTCGAACATATTTTACACTTGAACGGTTTTTCTCCAGTGTGAATTCGTAAATGATCTTTCAAATAATGTTTTTGAGCAAACGGTTTCAAACATATTTCACACTCAAATGGCTTTTCTCCGGAATGAATTTTTAAATGCTCTTTTAAAATGCTTTTCTCTGTAAAATGTTTCAAACATATTTCACACTTAAACGGTTTTTCTCCAGTGTGAATTCTTGAATGCAACTTTAATCCGTTTTTCTGGATATATTGTTTCGAACATATGTCACACTTGAACGGTTTTTCTCCAGTATGAATTTTTAAATGCAACTTTAATTTGCTTTTCGCGATAAATTGTTTCGAACATATTTCACACTTAAACGGTTTTTCTCCGGAATGAATTTTTAAGTGGCTTTTTAAATCGCTATTTTGGATAAACTGTTTCGAACATATTTTACACTCAAACGGTCTTTCTCCCGTATGGATTTTTAAATGCTTTTTTAAATTACTTTTCTCTGTAAAATGTTTAGAACATATTTCACACTTGAACGGTTTTTCTCCGGAATGAATTTTTAGGTGTTTCTTTAAATAGCCATTTTCGATAAACTGTTTCGAACATATTTTACACTCGAACGGTCTTTCCGCGATGTGAATTTTTAAATGCCTTGTTAAAATATTTTTCTCTGAAAAATGTTTCAAACATATTTCACAATTAAACGGTTTTATTACAGTGTGAAATTGTAAATGCCTTTTTAAATGTTGTTTTTGAACAAACTGTTTCAAACATATTTCACACTTGAACGAATTTTGTCCAGATTTTCGCTTACAAACTTTTGTTACTTTCTTTACATAATGAGTAACAATGAAATGGTACAGAAACTGTAATTGGGTAGGAAAAAATTGTCCGCAATAGTAACAAGTTCCGTAGAATCCTCCAAACTGGGCATTGGACAGGTTTTCTCTGGACAATCTGAAAGCTAAAACGAAAAGTACATTAATTTTAATGTGACATTACTAAGTTATGGTTAACCTCAGAATTAACATTACATTGAAACGCTGGCCCTTTATAAATTCGTCGTTAACAAGACGAACAGGCGTATCTAAAAATTACAAGTTTTGAATAATTAGTTTAAAGATATTTTTATTTAGTAATGTGGATTTTTAACTTCGCTTAAAAAATGCTAATAACATAAAATGTGCATCAATATATAAAGTATATAAATAGACAATGTCTCACTAAGTTGGAACCATATGGAAAACTTTAATAATTTTAGAAAAAAAGTTATTTATAAAAAGCTACGCATTATCTAAAACGTAAAACGCAACTATCAGATATCAAATTTTTTGAGCCGTATACAAGTTTGTCAAAAGTATGAATTTTACTCAAGAGTAAAGTACCTTTATTTTTGACAAACCTTGTATAAGACTATAAAATTTAATTATCTGATGTTTCGATTTTAGGTTTTAGACCATGCTGGACTTTTTATGAAGAATAACTTTTTTCTTAGTATTAATAACAAAAAAGTTTCGCATATGCCACCAACTTAATTTAGATCGTTAGACTGTGTTTTTCAAGCATTTCAAAACACTTTAATATTCATGCGATAAATTAATTAGAGCCAATCCTTAAAATATGGTCGAGCGGAGCCATTTTGGTGCCCTGCTTATTAGTGCGTGGACTCGCGCAGCAACCACCCAGACTATAGCTTCAGGGTTCTCCACACCTGGAATGTTTCCTTTAAAAGTGTCAGCAGTTCCTTAACATGCCTTTCTAACATCCAATAATCTAAACCAAAAGAAAGTGCAGAGAAACTGCCATCCGCACCTTCACTAACTCTTGTTGAACCTGGACCTGTGACAAGTTCCGCTCCTACCAATAGATGATTGAGACACCTTGATAATGGATGTAATTTCAAAAGTTCCAGTTCTCACAACCAACAAGCAAACTATACGAAGAAAACACAACTTGACTGATTCATAATTTATTGCAGATAAGAAAGAGAAGAGAGAAAAGGGAAAAACCGTAAAAAAAATAGAATGTAAACAAAAACAATTAGAAAAGCTCGCTAGAAAAACTACGTTTAGTTTCTTCTCTGAAGAAAATTGCAAGTTTTTAACAAATTATTCCACAGACGACGAAAATTTCGACGAAAATGAATGAGCAGGATGTTTGGAGGGCTACGAGAATACCACATCGACAGCGGAATGGCTTCAATACGTGGAGTGACATTTGTATGCCCTATGGAAAGAAAAGAATTGTCGAAAAGTAACAATGTTATGTTGAACCCCTATTAACCATCTCTCCCATACTCAGTGAGTCAACTCGTCCATGGGGTACAGGAAAGATTGCCAAATTCAGAATTTTAAACTTTTTTATAAAAAAAATATTGAGTTTACTTAGCCGTTGGGCTTATGCAAAAAATTGTAATGCTTAAAGCGTTATTTATGATTTCAGAAGCACGTTCAGTTTAGAAAAGTGCGTCATCTCTCCCTGTTTTACCCTATATTTCATAATTTCCTTTATTAGTACATCGACACTTAAATAATTAAGGTATAGTGTTATTGACTTGGAGTATACTGTTTACTCATCTGTAACATTGTTGATACCTTAAGTACGTTACACTAATATACTGAAAATTAATAGAATGTATTAAACAGAATGATTATTCTGTATTGAGCTGGCAAGCATAAACGATGTAAATAAATTGGGTTTTATAAATAAGTTTTAATTATTTTATATTCGATAAAACAATAAGTTTATCACATCTACAATGATTCATAAACGTAAAATCAGGATTTTTTGTAAACAAAAAAAATTTAAACCATATAGAAGTAGTTTAATTTAAAATAGGTTTCCAAATACTAAAAAAAATAATTTGCAATGTGGTATCAACTCGCTCGATATCACATCCCCAACGAGTCATTGATAAAAATGTATTTATTGCGAGCAGACCCAGACCTAAATTATGCCATCTCTGAAATAGAAGTGAAAGAACCGATTATGTTGGCGTAACATAGCGATTAGCTGATCATCATCCGTGGGGTGTATTAAAAACATCCATAGGCGTATTACTCTTAAAATGAAATATTTAATATTAAAAGACGCTGTTTGTCATTGACTGTAGGATTCTGCGTGTATCTCGGAAACAATGCGCTGTATAATTTTGAAAAAAAAATAAGTGGTTAATAGAAAGCGATGTATATTATTTCCAAGTGTCTAAGTTCACTACTAGATTGCGAAGTGCGTATGACCAATTATAAACAAGTAAGTAGTCAAAATTGAATAAAATTTCGTACTGAAATTGATTTTGTTATGTTCAACATAACTCCGATTAAATTGGAAAAATACTAAATCGTGGCCCAATAAGATTTGTTCTCGGATTTCCTGAGGATCTAACTTCAGCATTTAGATATATAGATGGCCACATATATTTTTCGTTCAAAATACCTACTATTAATTGCAACCGTTATTTTTCTTCCACCTCTAGAGTCTAATATTATCCTTGTCGCATTCTGTGGATTGTCAAAAGATAACCAGTATTAACATGGCACTTGTATAAAATATCCGAAGGGTTTAACAGTGAATTTATTGATTATAGTTCATTATTATTTTTTAATTAACAAAAGCCATCGATGAATATGTCATACAAAATCAGGACGGCGTAAATCAGATGTAAATTAAATGGCATAAATTAGATGTTCGTTGAGCTGTAAATCTGATGTTCGTTACTGTGTCTAAAGACAAGATATTTGTGGAACTCTTCGTGTCAATGAAATTTGAGGACTATCTGGAAACAGACGAGACCGTCCTTCCTACCTAAACATCCAGCCGAAGCCCAAAAACCCATGACATGTCATTTTATTAAATTACATATTCTTGTAGAAACAAAGTTTAAAAGTAATTTCATTGTAGGAAACTAGTAATTAAAAATTAATTTGTTCATATTTAGTCGTTATTAATTATAATTGGAGTAGTGCTTCAAATATGGTAACGTTCAATATCTAATTCTGAATTACTTTTTATTTTAATCATAATGCCAAATTCACGACCCTTATAAAAAATTTTGGATTCATTACATAATAATTAAGATAAATAATTAAGTAAAATTATTTTACAGAAATTAAGTGTATGCCTTATTTGTCGTTTAATCAATGTTAGTGATAACAATTTTTACCATTTTTAATTGTGTTTTTAATAAATTTAACCTAAACGTGCTCGGTTTATACAGTTAACTATAAAACATATATTTTTCTTTATCAGGCAGTAGTGTTATTTGATTTCTTTTTGTCAAATCTCGTATAATAAAATGCGCATCGTAGCCACTGACGTTATAAAAAACAACAGGAATCAGAAGGGATTTTATATTTTATTAACATTTGTTGTGTGTGTACTCTAAAATTACTTGTCAGATGATAATGATCTCTAAAGATCCTGTCTTTAAAAAACCCTTGGCAAATGTGAGAAGTAGGTACTAAGCTTACCTCTGTGTTCAGAAATTCAACTTTTTTCAATCTAGATTAAAATTTTAGCAGCTTTTTCGATTTCTCAAGACATAGAATCTAGAGCCTTGTATTTGTAAGGCGGGGAGGATAGGTTGCTCCATATCACTTAGGACTTATATGGTTCATTATGTATCCTCCAGGGCATATATAACCTGCCTCTAAACTTGTCAAAACCTGCTGATTGTCGCTTAGAGGTGTCTAGAGACAGCCATCTTCCCAGCTTATAATAAAGTTCCTATGTAAGTGTGAATTTGATGTCTTGGAATGGTTTTAATCCAGGCTTTTATTTTTTTTTTTTAAATAAGATGTTAGAATTTATATTTTTGAGTTCGTTTGGGATTAAATTATAGAATTTTGGGCCAAGATAATAATAACTTCGTTGTAATATATTTTTATGAGGTAAAGGTATATAATTTGACTGTTTTTTGTATCTCGTGTTATAAATATGATCAATACTTGTTAACTCCTTTTTTTTAATATGTTGTCTAATTAATGTTTTTGAGAAAAATATTTGCCTGACATCATACAGATTTACTTGTTCATATAGGAGTTCAGTAGGAAATAATCGAGGTTTTTCGAACAAGATTTTGATAATATATCTCTGTGTCGTCTCTAGAATGTTTAAATGTGATTTCTGTGCAGCTCCCCAAGCAACAATAGAATATGACAAGTGGCTTTCTACTAGGGCATGATAGAGAATTCGCATGTACTTTTTGTCATACAGCATGATAATATGTTTTAACTTATATGCCACAAATCGAAGTTTTTTCGCCAAAAAATTTATGTGGGTATCCCATTTAAGATGAGCATCAATATAAATGCCGAGGTATTTTATATTTAGTGTCCGAGTTATAGAGACTGTAGAGTTATTCATAGGTATGTTTAATGAAATATAATCAGGTAAGTAGCACGCATATGAGGTAAAAGGGACAAAGAAGGTCTTGCTAATGTTTATAGTCAGCAATCGATTGTCAAACCACTTTATTATTTTTGAAAAATCTTCTTCAACCATTACTTTTAATTCATTCCAGCTATTTGATGAGTAGACAATAGCTGTATCATCGGCAAAGCTAATTATATCCCCTTTACTTCCAATTTCAAAAATATCGTATAGATATAGATATATATTAAATAAAATCGGTCCCAGTACCGTACCTTAGGGAACCCCGTATTTAACAGCTTTAAAATCACTTAAAGAATTCCCTATTCGGACACATTGTCTTCTATTTGTTAAGTAATTTTTCAGAAGTAAGTACGGAGTTTCTCTAAATCCAATTTTTTCCAGTACTTCAAGAAGCTGAGAGTGACTAACCGTATCAAAGGCTTTAGCTAGGTCTACAAAGAGGCATAGCGTTGGGATTTTGTTATCTACATTTCTATTAATTTTATTTAGAAGTTCCAAAATAGCATCTTGCGTGTTTTTCCCATCCGTGAATCCATATTGATTAGGTGCCATTATTTTGTAATTATTTAAATAGCTAATAATCCTACGTTTTAGAGCTATTTCAAAAATTTTAGTAAATGTAGATAAGAGTGATATTGGTCGGTAATTAGTCACATTCAGCTTTTCAGCACTTTTGTAAACCGGTATTACTACCGCAGTTTTAAGAGCTGTTGGACATTCTCCGGTATTGAATATTTTATTTATGAGAAAAGTTAAGGGCGCAACAATATTTTTAGCAATAAGTTTAATGTGTTCAACTCTGATGCCATCAATACCGGGGGATTTCTTCTCTTTTAGTGTACTTATAATTTTCATGACTTCAGTTTCCTGTATGTCTTCCAGATAAAATGAATTTGTTATACTTTTTGTTTTGAATTTATAATTTTTGTTTTTATTCTGGTTTGTGATCTTTGTGGCCATTTTTTCACCAATGCTAGAAAAGAAATCAATAAAAGTGTCTGCTATTTCCTTTTCCTTATTCGCAATGTTTCCGTTTGGAGTTCTTATTTCTTTTATATTATTTAAATATTTGTTTTTATTTGTAAGTTCATTGACAGATTTCCAAAGAGCGACTGACTTATTTTCATTCGATAATAACTTATTGTTGTAGTAATCTCTTTTCGCTGAAATTACTAGTTTACTGAAAATATTTTTAAATATATTATAATTTTTTTTGTTTTCCTCATTTGGATTTTGCTTAAATATTAGGTACAATTCTCGCTTTTGTTTGGCCGATGTTAATAACGCATTCGTTATCCATGGATTTCGTTTAACATCTAAACTTTTTAGCTTTATTTTATTAGTCGAACAATTTAAAACATCTTGAATTATTTTTAAAAATATATCTGTTGCGTTTTCAATATTGGTTGCTGCATATACATTAATCCAGTTTACGTTAGAAATATTAATTTTTAGTTTATTATTGTCAATATATAGTTTATATCGTGTTTTTTCTATAATTTTTCTTTGTTTTTTAGCAGAAATAATTTGAAGTATGGTAGAAAAGTGGTCAGTTGTGTCTGATTCAAAGACAATTGGATTGTATTTAAATGATTCTGAGTCATCTTTAATGAAGCAATGATCTATACATGATTTACAGTCTCCTTGTACTCGAGTATATTTATTAATATATGACATATACCCATTTGTATACAATAAATTTAAATAAATGTTAGATATTACCGTATCTTTTTTATATCAATATTTATGTCTCC